CTTTTGAATGAGAGTGATAAGTAATAATTGCCTTATCTAATTTCTTATCATGGTATTAATGCCAAGTTTGTAATGTATACACATTATCATCATATGTATACACAGTAATCATGAAAAGATAGCGTTTTCTTCTGTCCTTTTCTCAATACGTATTTTAATGTTTAATACCGTAAAATAGTACATGAAAATTCAAATTTTCACAAACTTCAAAACGCTACAGAATATTTACTATTGAATATTTTTAAGATTTTTTTTTACTAAAATTTTTCTTAAATTCTACTCTACAAAATAGCTATCTTAGATTTTTTTTTTACATTTTATTTAAAATTTAAAAATAATTAATATTTTTAATAAAATGTAAAAAAATTAATTATTGAGATATAGCTATAGACCTAACGTATAACTATTATTTAAAAAAAAAATCAGCTAAAAATATTAACTGGATCAAAAGTTATTTAAGTTGTCAGTGAGTGGTGGGCCACTCTGTATATTCGCTTCACAAATGAGCATGTACATTCAGGATTGTCCAAATTTTTTCCCGCATCCGATAAATCATAACCTTCGTAATGTAAGTAGTCTCCAACGGTATCGTTGACTTTATCGCCTAGAAATTCCACAAATCTCGATAATTTTTCAATAATCTACTGACTGGTTTTAAAACTCTATCTATCGGAACGTTTTCAACAAGAAAACTCAATTTATGTAATATTATATTATTACTTATAATATTGACATATAATATTATGTTATCATTTGTACATGTATGTCACATATTATGATTATACAAGATCACAAAAACAGGGTTCTCTTATTTTAAATACAAAATAACCAATTAATTATGGGATAAAATCTACTTATTGTAGAGATTATTAATTAATGCCTACAAGCAGGACACTCATTACAATTAACCAATTCGAATAGAAAGCCTCAGCTTTTCCAAGATCACGGTAGGGAAACCCCTTCAAACTATAAAAAGCCATATTCCCCGTCTAAACCAGTTTTTTAAACATACGTATTGAAACTAAGAAATTAAAAATTTTATTTTGGAGAGTGTTCTGGAAATACTGACACTTTTACATATATCTTAAATTAAAAATTATGTAATATACTTTAATTTGAAAAAAAAACTTGATCTCTGGACTTGTCTTCATGATGAAAATAGTCATCGTATTTACATCGCAAATCTTTAGATAGTGTTTAATTAAAAAAATTGGTGGATTATTCCAAAAGCTACATGATCTGCTAGTTCCTTATTAATATCCTAATTAAGATAAAGTATGTCGAATGAAAAAGGGATTATTAAAAAATATTATTTCTCATAAAAAAATAATGTAGATCCATACACTTTTCAATATGTCATAGCATTATAAAGTTAAAAATGTAAAATACAAAATCGAAAATTTTCACACAAAAATAGCATTCGGTATCTATTTTCATCGTGAAGATAAAATAAAGTCCGAAATTTTTTTTTTCATGATAAAGTATATTACATTAGCTTTAATTTAAGATATATATATAAGTATCAGACCTTCCGGAACATTTTCAAAAGTCAAGTTGAAAAAATTAATTTTTTGTGAAAAAGTTTTTTTAAATCCCCCTCTGTGGGCAATTAAAGGGTCACATATAAAAAAAAATTATATTGATTTGTTCATTTTTGAAAAATTTATGGCAGTTTTAAGTAAAAAACCCCAATTGTGCTTAACCAAACTTTTGCTGATTCAGCTTCATCTATTTTAATATTTATATTAAAATAATTAAATGAAATGGATGTATTAGCATGAATATAAAACATAAATGTTTGATAATAATACTACCAGAAAATGTTAAAATTCGTAATGTTTCAGAGAAGATTTTATTTTTTCGTTTACTTTCAATAGCACCTATGCTCCGAAACTGGCGTACACAATTTTGTCAATGTTTCACTAATTTTTCTTTTGCATGGAATTATTTTGACTTGATAGTATAAAATAATTAGCACAGTGGGGTAGAGGCACAGTGCAGACAAGGCATAGATGGGACAAGTATAGATGATATTCGACGATGATTAAAATCACTATCATAAGAAATGCTTCGATGCAAATCTGTAGATAGTGTTTCATTTAGAGAAATTGATGGATTATTCCAAAATCAAAATCAACTCTTATTTCTTTGATTATATCCTAATTAGTAGTTCTTTGATTTTAAAATATAATATATGAATAAATACTAATTATAATTATTAAATTTAGTATGAAATTGATATTCAATAATTTAATATTGTAATTTAAACGGAGAAATTATAAAAATAATAAAGAAGTTATGAAGAAGTAATAAAGAAGAATGCTTTATTTTTACGTGTATAAAAATTTAAATGTCTTGATTCAATAAATTTCAATAAAAACTGTTTCTAAATCAACTTTTCACGATGTTTTGANCAAAAATATACCATTCTAAATCAACTTTTCGCGATGTTTTCAAATCTGCAATTAGACTTTTTCTATCACTTCTAAGTTTTAATATTATCAAAAATTAGTATTTACATATAAAAAATTCGCATTGAAGCTAAAAAATTGGCTATTTAAGCTAACTAAAATTTAAAAATTACTTTTTCGACTTTAAAAAAGTAAAAAAAATTTAATAAGTTTAATTTCTTATGTCTTATGAACTTTATTCTATGTCAATTAAATTATATAATATTCATGAAAGTCAATATATTCTCCTAATAAGATATTTTATAATAAAATAAAATACAAAACCTAGAATTTTAATACAAAAATAGCATATTTTTGAATACGGTAGCTATTTGCACATAGAAGATAGGTCGTCGGGACAAATTTTTATTTTTTCATTTTATAGTACATAAAATAAGCTTTAATTTTATATATGTTTAAAGGACGCAGTATTTCCGGAACACTTTCAAAAGTTAAGTTGAAAAAGTTCTATTTTTTATACAATATTTCAAGTTTTGAACGCCCCCTATATATGGGGAAATTGTCCAATTTTAATAAAAAGTATGTCAAATGGAAGATGTACTTATAATGTATTTAGAAAAAAAAAAATTGTTCTGATACATGCATTTTTCGAAAAGTTATAGCAATTTTAATTTGAAAATTAAAAATCGAAAATCGAAAATTTTAACACAAAAATAGTGTTTTTTTAACTACGGCAGCCGTTTACATGCAGAAGATAAAGTGTCGGGACAAATTTTTTTTTTCAATTTATAGTACATAAAATAAGCTCTAATTTGATATATGTTTAAAGGACGCAGTTTTCCGGAACATTTTCAAAAATTAAGTTGAAAAAGTTAATTTTTTGTAAAAAAGTTGCTATTATAAATCCCCCCCAATGAACAGGTTAAGTGTTAGATTATAAAAAAAATGATATCATATGAAAGGGAAATATCTAAGGTTTTAGTATAAAAAGTTATAGAAGTTTTAAGAAAAAAAAATGAAAAAAATGACAAATTTTACCGATTTTTAAATTTGTAATTTTTTTGGATATTTCCCCCATTTGCGGGGAACGAGGGATCTTTTTTCAATTTTTAAGGGTAATGTCTTCAACTAGATACGATTTGTGATCTTTTGACGTATCGTTGAAAAAAGTAGGTTTGAAATTAACACATCTTAGTAAAACCAATACCTTCTCAGCTTCGCATCGAAGCTACAATTTTAATAAATTTAATTTCTTATGTCTTATGAACTTAATTCTATGTCAATTAAATTATATAATATTCATGAAAGTCAATATATTACCCTTTTAAGATATTTTAAAATAAAAAAAAATACAAAACCCTAGATTTTTAATATAAAAATAGCATATTTTTGAATACGGTAGCCATTTTCATCAAGAAGAAAATTTATATTTCGATTTTTTTTTTATTCATAGTAAAATATATAATATAAGCTCTAATTTAAGATTAAATAAAAGTGTCAACATTTCCAGGAACATTTTCAAAAATTACATTGAAAAAGCTTAATTTGTGTCCAATAATTGATTTTTTGAATTCCTCTTATGTGCAGGTTTAGAGTCAGATTTTCAAAAAAATTATATCAAATGAAAGAAAAATATCTAAGGTTTTAATACAAAAAAAAAAAATTTTATTTTGTTCATTTATTAAAAAGTTATCGAAGTTTTAAGTATTAAAATATTTCATGTTAAACAGTGATTTTAACATAAAAATTACATTTTTCGTTAAATTCGGCGACCATTTTCCTATGGAAGAAAAGGTGTCGGTACAAATTTTTTTTTTTACTTATGGCATTTATTGTAAGCTTTAATTTGACCTATGTTTATAGTACGCAGTATTTTCGGAACATTTTCAAAAGTTAAGTTGAAACAATTCTTCTCTTATATGTATGTTTCAAGTTTTAAACCCCCTGTATAAAGAGGGATTTAAGAAGAATGGTCCAAAATGGTTTTAATAAAAAAAGTATGTCAAATGAAAGAAATATATACAATTGTAACAGTGATAACAGGTTAATTTTTCAGTAATTTTTTTGATTAATAATTTTAAAGTTTAGTTCTGTATAAGTAAGTTTGTGTTTTTCAATAGAACATTTAATATTTACTGAGTTATGAATCGTACTACTTTTTATACGTAAGTTTCAAATTATGAACTCCCTCTGTACAAAGAAAAATTGTCCAATTTAAGTTAAAAGTTAAATAAAAGAAGTATATACAGGGTGATTTTTTTATCATAACCCACTCCATTACTTACAGAGTAGTAATAATTTAAACATTTTTTTTTTTTTTATTATCTTTAGTTACACGTTATTCTTGAATTATTAACTATGTAATACTTTTAAAGTTCATTCCTTATGCCTGGTAAGGGTGTCAACTTTGTTTTTTTTAAATGGGAACACATATTTTTAATTTAATAAAATGTTTGGATTTTTAATTCAATAGTAAATGGAATTTGAATTTTTAATATAACTTCATTAATTTATTAGATATAAACACTTAAAGTTTCAAATTTTTGAGTTAATTTACATGTATAATACATAAGAGTTTATAAATACAAATAGTTAATTGGTTTTTATTACATCGATATTAGCAGATACACAGCATTATTATTATCAATGGTAGTAAGGCACATTATTGTGAGTTTATAAATACACTAACTGACAATACAGAAAGTATATCTATCAATAGTCATAATTGATAATAAACAATCCGTGACTGTGACAGCGACATCTTAAACAGCCAATTTTTTTTTTCATTTTATAGTACGTAACATAAGCTATAATTTTATATATGTTTAAAAGACACAGTATTACCGGAACAATTTCAAAAGTTATGTTGAAAAAGTTAATGTTTTGTGAAAAAGTTTCTATTTTGAAACCCTTCCCTGTGGGCTGGTAAGGGGTCAAATGTTCACATAATTATATTAAAGATAGGTAAACATCTAAGATATCTATAAAAAAATATTAAATTGATTCGGTCATTTTTAAAAAAGTTATGGCAGTTTTAAGTAAAAAAAATTAAAAAAGTGTCGAATATTAATGATTTTTAAATTTGTAATTTTTTGGGGGATTTCCTCAGTTTACGGGGAATGCGGGAATTTTTTTCAATTTTTGAGGGTAATGTCTTCGAATAGATAAAATTTGTGATCTTTTATCGTATTGTTCATCAAAATCGGTCCAGTAATAGTTGAGATACAGTGTTAACAGACACAAAAAAATATACATTACTATTTATTTTGGACTGTTAATTTTATTATAGTCTGTATTTTAATAATAATAAACTATTATATTAAATAACATAAATATATTAACAAAACATGCTACTATTCTAAATTTTAAAACATATAATGATTAACTAGATTTAACTTTATTATTTTTTGAATATGTATTCATATAGAACATCGTAAATAAATAAAGGAATACGAAAGCATTGCAAATCATGTACAATGAAAAAGTTTTTGGGAATCCACACTGAAATATAAACATGCAGCATAAATATATTAAAACGATGATAAATTGTATCTGAAAATAAAATAAAATAAGTAATATAAGAGATTTTACAGTTATAAATTTTATAATTACAATCTGCATTAGAGTTAAATATTTTTTCCACCACAGATATTTTTGAACACTTGGTCCCATAGCTGATAAAAAGTAGTAAGAATACATGATCACGTGGATAAAAACATTTATAAGTCCAGCCACAAGACATTCAATACCTAATAAAATTAAAAAAAGATTTAGTAATTGATCATAAATTATGTACTCTTAATTTTTTTTAAGTAAAAAAAATTATTTTTCAAAGAATCAATTTATCAAAAAAGATGAGTTGATTAAAACATTGGATTTCAATACATTTGCTATTTTATTAAAGATAAAAAATACAGATCAAATATAAAAGTATATATTGAATATTTAAGTTTCCCAAAATTTTTAAATGGAGGACTAAAACAAAAATAAATTTTCAATGAATCTATTATTTTCAAGACTTTTTACTTAAATGAAGGGGTAACTTTTTCTTTAAGAAAACTTCACTAACGCACAACCCAAAAGATTTAAAAGTATTCAAGTACACAAATATTTATGTGAAAATTTTTATTTGTATATTAAGTATCGTAGCAAAATTTAAATAATATCGAATATCAATATAAATAATATTGACAGCTACATAAGAAATAAGTTAAGTTAATTTTATGTCTAATAATTATTAGTTTCATCGTGAGAACGATTATGGTAGAATTTTAATTTACCTTTGTAGAATCTCAAATGGACCCAACAACTAATAACCATAATTGCATGATGATAGACATGCAATAATGTCACATGAGAATTCTTTTTTCTTAATATAAAGAATACCTGAATAAAAACATTGTAAAATAACAGTTATGTATTAACGTATATATACATAATCTATACAAATTAAAATATATCTGTAAATAAAATTAAATGTAAATATAATTTAAAATTATATAAAAAAACTAATTTTTTACAATTTTTTTTAATTAAAAAAATTTTACAATTAATATAATAAATATTTAACATTTTTTATTCCAAATATTTAAAAGTCTGGCACTTTTTACTAACTTTTATCAAGAGAGTTGCTCCAAAAATTTTATAATTTAAAATTTTTAAATTTTTAAACTTAATGCATTAATTATAAAAATTATTATATTAAAACAATACTTTAATTACACTCGAATATACCTATTATTGTCTTAAAATACACTACATGACAATAAATATGTTAGATGAATGTTAGGGAATAAATATTTACAATATATTTTCAATGAAAATCACAGCCCTAAAAGTATGGAACAATTTTTTACAAGGCTAAATATTAGTTTAGTTACAGAGGTTGTTATGAACTTCAGAAGCTCTTTTTCAATTAATGATTTATATTATAAAAAAAAAAACACTTAATATAATACTTACTGTGTCTAATAAGTCAAGTATTTTAGAGAAAAAATAAAACCATGATCCTCGATTTAACTATAAAATAAAATTTAAAAGTAGTATTACAATTTTATTGACATTATCAAATTAATTAAAATATTGAGTTACCAATTAAAATTTTTAAATATTGTTGGTGTAATTAATTATTTTAATTAATAATATTATTTTTTCTGAAAATCAAACCATAGAAAAAAATCTAAAATTTTAATTTAAAAATATATATATTTATTGTGTTATAATAAAAAAAACAAAACCAAAAAAATAACACAAAAATATAAGTTTCTGAAAAAGTTATAAAAATTATGAAGGGCTAATTTCATATAAAATAGTCCTACTTAACCAGATCATATGTGTTGAATATATAAATTTTATTAAGATAAAAAAAAATCCTGTTATTAAAAAATTAATATTATCATTTTATTTGTTCGCTAGTTGAAATATTCTCTGCTTATGATCCGTCTAAAACTGTTCATTCCTATCCATATGGATGTCATAAAGATAGGATTGACAGTAACGTATTTTACAATATAAATTACCTCTAATAATAGTAAATAAAATCTCTGACGTTCCTCAGGATGGCATGAATATTTCCAGAAGTAGAACATAGAATTAGGCGTAGAAAAAAACTGAAATCAAATTATTTATCCATTAATTTTATTATTTAAAATTGACACGAATCATTGTTTTACACTTCACAAAATGTACAATTGCATATAAATTTTTTTTTTCTTAAGTAATACATTTTCTCTTTACTCTAACAAACTTGAAAAAATCTCAAACTTAAACATTATATTTTAAATCAACCAATAATTATACTTATTTACTATTAAATAGAAATTAATGACAACAACTTAATAATATTTTTATTTCAGTACAAATACATTATAACAAAAATTATATAAAAAAAAGCGGTAGCACAGTGGGGACGTGACATAGTTGAGTCAAGTATAATGATATCTGACTTTCATTAAAATCACTATAATAAGAAACACTTCGATGCAAATCTATAGTTAGTGTTTAAATTTAAGAAATTTGTAGATTATTCCAAAATAAAATTAAGTCCTATTTCCTTATTTATATCCTGATTACAAGTTTTATGAAATATAAGAGTAATATACGAAAAAATATTTAATAAATTTGTTCAACATTGACGGCCATTTTCAAATAAAAGATAGGTCGTCAGGACAAATTTTTTTTTTAATTTATAGCACGTAAGCTTTAATTTAACATATTTTTAAAAGACACAGTATTTTCAGAACATTTTAAAAACTAAGTTTAAAAAGTAGAACTTTTTAAAATTATAGTTATATGATTTTCTATAATACGTAAATTATAAATTTTGACATTTTATAAGCGGTGTTACAATTATACTCTTTAAAAATTGCCATATTCGGACAGTAAATGTATGATCAGAAATAAGGCGGGAAAGATGGTGTAATAATATTTGATTAATAAGGTTTCAATTCCAAAAAATTATTGATGCGTTAAATGAGATATCAGATACAGCACATGAACGGCTAATTAAAAGTGAATTAATTTATTAATTTTTAATATTAGTACAATAGAATTCCTTATGAGTTTATATATTTAGTATACAATACTGTCTGAAGTGATCATTGTCACCAAAAGTTCAAATATTCACTTGATAAATATTTCTTCAGAGTTATTAAATGGACATGTCAAGATTTTTAAAAAATGATTGAGAAACTAGATTTAATACAGCCTTATTGGAAGCTCAAATATTCAACACTATTTAAAAAAATTTACATTCAATTTAAAGCAACTATATATTAAAAAAAAAAACCGAGCACAAGTGGGTCGTGGCACAGTGGTGACGTGGCATAGTTGGATCAAGTATAATGATATCTGACAGTGATTAAAATCACTGTCATTATTAAATTATTAAAAAATATTATTTCTCATAAAAAAATTATGTTGATCCATACACTTTTCAATAAGTTATAGCATTATAAAGTTAAAAATGTAAAAAATAAAATCGAGAATTTTCACAAAAAAATAACATTTGGTAGCAATTTTCATCGTGAAAACAAAATAAAGTCCGAAATTTTTTTTTTCCATAATAAAGTATATTAGATTATCTTTAATTTATGATATATATAAAACTGTCAGACATTCTGGAATACTTTCAAAAGTTAAGTTGAAAAAGTAAATTTTTTGGGAAAAGTTGTCATTTTAAATCCCCCCTGTGGGCAGGTAAAGGGTTAAATTTATGAAAATAATATACCAAATGATAGGTAAAGACATCTAGCATCTATAAAAAAAAATTATATTGATATGTTCATTTCTAAAAAAGTTTTTGAGGGTAATGTTTTTGACTAGATACGATTTGTGATCTTTTAACGTATGGTTGAAAGAAATCGGTTCGGTGAGAGCTGAGAAAAAGTGTTAGACAAAAAAAAAAAAAAAACATATCATAATAAAACGAATATCTCCTCAGCTTCGCATCGAAGCTAAAATAATGCTTTCTTACAAAAGTAGCGCTTGACTTAATCAAAAATCTCGACGAGGACTTCAGGTCTTGTATTTTTTAGTATTAACGGATTACACTGTTTAATCAATCACAACCCGATTTGATCAAACTTCTAAGTTTAATAAAATGTTCTATCATTATTTTTAACTATTTTGTTCGATGTACTTTAAAAGAGTGTTTTTTTAGTTTTTTAAACTATGTTTATTTTATTTAGTACACAACGCAGAATAAATGCATAAAATATTGAAAATTACGTATTTAGTGAATTTTTCATAATACGTAAAATGTAAAATTTGAAACTCTATAAGTGGTGTTAAAGTTATTTTTCTATCATCATATTTTCACCAGACATTTTAAGTACTATGAAACGAAAAAAATTCGTTTAGTCACTTTTGTGTAATGAGGTGAAAAGTTGGCTATTTTCATCAAACCATGCATGTTCGTAAAAATTGTAAAACGATAAAAAATTTTTTTTTAATTAATTCCAATATAATATGGGTAAAAAGAACAAAACTAAAAGTGTCTTAAAAAAATTTTACTTCAAATTTTGTTATTAAAATGTTACAAAATGTAAAAATTTCGATTTTACAAAAAATTCAAAATTCATAAACTTAAGAATGAAATTGAAATAATATTTAATATAAGTACACAGTGCTATAGTTTCACGGTGATAACTAATTTGAATATGAAGTTTTAAGCTCTAAAACATAAAGTGTTTCTTCATGTTTTCAATTATAAAAACTGGGCATGTGGTGAAAAAACAGTAACAAAAAAAAGATTTTTGTTGTCAATAACCTTCAAAAAGTCTATAATAAAAATATCAACAATTTCTGAACCATAGCAACTGTATGGTACAGAACGCCTTTAGAAGGATCTAGTTGACCAGTTGTTATAAAGATCATTGATTGTATTATTTCGTGGGACAGCTGATCACCAGCGTCTTGCTTTACTCACCCCCTTGCCCACCCATCACAGCAAATCGATGACCTCCGTGTCGTTTTTCATCCATGTACAGTTCATTGTCATAAGCCAGTCAGTCGATTGTTTTACGTGTCACCTTTTTTCTGTTGCAAGCGCCTTCGCTTGATTAGTAAATTATTCGGCCATTGTACGGCATAGTTTTTTATTTCTTGTTTATTGTACCCTTGTGCTCAAAGTTTAAGTGCCCTTGCACGCCACTAGTGATTGGGCCCTGACCATCACTAAATATCTTCATTGCCGTAGTCGCCTCTTCGCGGTCTGTTCTCATCTGCCATTACGTACCTGGATGTACACTCTGACTCGTCATACTCAGATGTTCGACACCATTACCACAAGATCTCATACAGTCCACTCATCATCATCAACAGCGTCATCTATACAGCTGAGTTTTATATTATTTTTAATGTTAATTATTGTTTGTTCTAATTGAGATTAACTATATGTTTTATGCCGCTTCGCCGGCCACTAGTATTTAAGGGCCCCCCGTTACCCCTTAAATTTAAGATACTCTCTAAGGAATTTCTAATATATGTGATTATTTGTTAATTAATTATTGTCTACTCTCGTTTACTTATTGGATGTATAGTTAGCCGTCATCTCTTAGGTGACCCACTCCCGCATCAATATTAACGTTTTATTAAACAGGCTTAAGGTAAAACGGCATTCTAGTGCGGTGCACAACTAGCCGTCCTACGGTCTAGCTGCCTCTTACGCATCAGCAATATCACATTATGTGATTTCACATGCAATGAACTTAAAATAACATTTTTATGACTATTAAGTATCAAATTAATAAAAAATTTTATAATACAATACTAAAATAATTATTTTTAAATAATACTGGAATGTTATAAAAATAGTACTAAAATATTATTTTAAAAATAATGTTATTTTGATTATTAAATAATGGAACTCTGGTCAAATAATAATACTTATAAATATTGTAACGTAATAAAATTATCATGAGTATCAGGTCACAGGTAACTGTATTCAAACAGTGCGCGTCGTACATCCGTAGGTTCAGTGTTGCACATACACACATAATTATTTATTAAATTGATATATGTTTCCTACCACCTGTGATTCTCATTCTAAATACCATAATAATGAACACACTGTCAAGTATCCTCTCCCATGTGTGATCAAGCCGACATAAGAAAAAAATCACGGTTATGTTCAAAAAGAAGCTCTCAATCATCATCATTCGTTTTTCTTCTCTACTTCTTCTTCGTTTTGGATCAATGGCATCGTCTCTCCAATATTTTGACGTGTGTTACGAATCCGTGATGGAGGAGTAAAGTTTTTCAATTTGGCTTGGCCATCATAATGGCATCAACACCAATACATCTTCTTAAGCATTCAACAACGAATTATTATATCATGGTATATTTGTTCCTTTTCTGTTTGTTATATTTTGTCTTGCATATGTAAATTACTTCATTGTGTTACAAGCTATGACGATTTCGTCATTCTCTTATTTTTAGTTAATGACTATATGGATTGTAACTATGATCTGAGATTATGTTATATGGTCAATACTTTCTGTTTCTTTAATTTTTCTTTCTTCACCTTACGTGAGTTGACAGGTTCTCGGGTGTGGTCAGAGTGGACATGGTGAACATCTCAATAGGCCCTCTACACTTATGTAGAGGATACCCATTGACGTTGGTGACATGTCCATTTTACCCTGACCCATGCGATGGATCTATCATACCCACGTTACCCTCCTATTTTCTTTGTGTTTTCTCTTGTTGGTACATTATTAAATTAATTAATTAATCCAGTTAATATTTGATATGTCAAGTCGTTCTGAAATGAACTCTTAAATACTGATTATGTGAACATTATGTTTAAACCACATGGGCCATGTGTAATTATACAACTCACAAAATACGAAGGCCGTTCTGAAGCCAGTCTGTCTGTAGCAGTTAACTCTATATAATTGCAATCAATCGCCATTCACTGTTTTACCTTAAGGGTGTAAACTGCGGCATGTACATAAAAAATCATTTATTGGGCCAAAATCATATTAACTGGGTTTAACTAAATGTACTTGTTTTTCTTTCTGTTATTGCCTTACTTACCTTTTACTCATATCTTTTTTTTTTTTGATCCTTGACCATTGTTTAATTTTCATATTATTTTATTTAACATACTTCGGTTTATTCGGATATATATAGATCTATTTTGTTTATTAGTAAAATTTAATTGTCTATTAAGTTTAGTTGTTATGATAAACAAAAATTGAACTTTAATAATTAATAAATTTCAATCATTGTTATCTTAAAGTATTACTATTCTTCATTACCTTTCCACATAGAATAAGGTACAAAATCCCTGGTGCTCCGGCTTTGCCTCGGCCCAGGGTGGACCCTTCTGAGGTCCTTGTAAAGTGAGGCTGATGCATATTAGTTTAGCTTACAATATATTATAGCGTCTGTAATTATTCATCGTTTCATCTATAATACTAGTATTATTAGTCATTATAATAGTACTTTTGTTATAACAGTATAATATAGACATTTTGATATATGGATAGTGTTCTTTTCGAAGAAAATAACTATTCATAATCGAAAAATGTTTGTTTTAAGAGCTTTAGTTTAACAATTATCTTCGACTAAATATCTTTAAATTTAATTTTAAATAGCTCTGTATATTTTTCATATATAAATCATTTATGTATTTATAATCTTCGTATATCTAATGTTAATAACTTAACATCAACAACACTGTATATTTTAAGATTACTAATAAAATACTGATTAAAAAATTGAATCAGGAATTTTCTCAAATTAATCCTTTTCTATTTTACAAGTGAGTTTATTTTCTATGGTGTTATTTCATTCATAGGTAACACGTAGAATAAGAAATTATCTATTTATTACTTTGAACATATTTTCTATTAAATATCGACAGTCATAAAACTACCATGGTTAAACTAGAATGAAATAATAGGAGTGTAAAATCTCCCATAAAAAAGGTAGCAAATTCTTAATAAGACGCTCAAATTTCGATATCAGAATCTATTTTAATAACTTTTTGAAAAATCCATAAAAGCATTATTAGCTAAATGCTAATAATTTTTACATGTTTTACTAATACAAGGATTATAATTGTAATTATTATAATTAATTTTTGTAATAATGTTCCTAGACTTAACACCAGTTTGTGTAAAATATAGCTAATAAATTCAGATAATTATAAAGATTGTAGTTATTTTTAAAATATTAAAAGAAAAGATATTAATAAATCTCAAAAAACCCTTTAACTGAAAACAACTTGATAAATAATCTAAATAAAGGACATTATACTAAAACCATTATCCATAAAAAACAAAATATACAAATATACCAAAATTTACATTTTGTTTTTCACGACAGTTATAATATTTTAAGTTTATTGTGTATTCGTCATATTGTTTATATGTTTAACATCCCATTAATTAAGAAACTTAATTCTAATATTAGAGAGAGTGAAAACCCTGTAAAGTTGGATATTACGGAATCGATACTGCGTACGGGTCACACCTCGTTTTCGAACGAGCTATACTGACCACTTGGCTCAATGAACTTTGCATCAAACCAAATAAATTTCATTTAAAACAAAGACTTGTTACGCTTAATTTTCCATAAAAATAACTTTCTTTTACTCTTTCAATAACCATTGGAGTTATTTTTTACTTACCCAGTATAATAAAAAGGCATTATAGAATACTTGTGTTATATTGTAAATTAATATAATTCCCTTTAATTTAAATGGTTCTCGATTTTTCATAAAACGTGGACCAATAATCAATACAAATGATAAATACACTAGTACAATAGCAAAAACTGGCCAAGCAGGATCCATTAAAAACCAAGAATCAACAATATCATCTAAAATTAAAATATTTAAAATATTTAAAATTTGTTGAAAATATAAAGCTATTAGGTTTATGCTACCAAATGTAAACAATTTTATTAAGGAAAGGTTGAAAGAATGAAGTGCATGATGTTATACCATGCATTACTGTATTCATAACTAAAACATATAAAATAAATATTGTATTAAAATTATCGGCTGACATATCTAATCAACCGACAATTACAAATCGCAATCATCTAAAAGTGGAAAAAATATTTAAGTGATGAAAATTAAGTCAAATTTTTTGAAATTCGTAGAATTTTATTTTATTTTTAAATATATTAAATTTTATTACCCAAAATTTAAGGTTAAGCCATGCCACCCAAAAAAATTTTCATAAAATAAATTTTAATTAAAAAATTATTTATGATTTTTAAATTATCTATATATTTTTAAAAAACTTATATTTTAACTTGATATAAGAAAAAATAAAAATTATTTTATTGAAATAGAATTTAAAATTGCAGTTAACATTTATGCTACATTTTATACTACATTATTAATTAAATTTAACGTGAGGTACATTTGCATTATTTAAGTTTGTGTTGTTTTGTATTTTAATTTTATTTAAAATATCTTCATTACCAAGTGTTTAGCGGAAAATTAGAGGCATATTATTTAAATATAAAAATATTTTTCTTGCGCAATACGTAGCTGTGTACACTTCTGAATTTACTAGTTCTACAATTTCTAAAAAGATACAAGGTTTAGTTCTCTATTTGTTGTATTTTTATTTCAATTTTTTTAAACGTTAACAACTTTTTTTTCATTTTTTATCAGTATAATTATTTTTTTATCATTTGCTTCAAGTATGAACCAAAATTACTACAGAAAAATTTATATTATCAAATATTAAGTGTTCAAAATTATTTGTATTTGTGTTAACTATTTAATTTAACTAAAATATTATATTATTATTGAAAAAAATAATTATGTTAGGCTATAAGTACCATTACTAACAAGCTATATTAAAAAACAAAGACTTCAGTGGTTTACACACGCGATGTGAAAAACTGAAAATGCAAATACAAGAGCAGCAATCGAATGGCAATCGAAAAGAATAAGACCCAGATGAAAACCAAAGAAGAGATAGATAGATGGGGTTAGAAAGAGTTTGGAAATGCTGGATGTCACGAATTGGGAAGATAGAATCCAGAGTCAGGAAGATTGGAGAACAGTGACAGTGGCGCAAAAAATTCTTATAGAATTATAAATTCAAAGAAGAAGAAAAGTATAATTGTTATTTTAATGAAATATATTAATTCTATCCCATGCATATTCAAATGTAACGCAAATTTGTGGTACATTTATAATAAAATATGGTTAACTTTAAAAACTTAAAATTCTTAATTATTTTAATGTAAAGGCAAATAATACTATAAAAATAAGCAGCAATATTTTTTAATGACAGATTAAAACCATGAAACTAAAATTTTGGTATATTTAACAAAATATAACACCCTAAATTGTACAAANTATTTAACAAAATATAACACCCTAAATTGTACAAAAATGTTAATAATATTAATTAATGTTTAATATTTATTTAAAATATACTATTTAAATTAATATTTCATTTATAATAAAATTCTTTAGTAACGACTTTCTTAAAAATTATAAGAAAAATGTTTGTAAATTTATTCTACTTACCGTATACAACTTCTTTTTCAAATACTTCAAAAAAATTATCTTTGGTATTTTGTAGGAAATCAAACATAAATGTAGCATTTTTCATGGTAGCTAAAACACATTATAAATATTTTAAGATTAATAGTTAAGTATCGAACAATACGAAATTGAATGATGTGGATGTCTAATTTTTACAACAGTTTTGATAGCTACCAAGAGTTCTAGCAGTAAAATAAATTCTTTACTTAGTTTTTAATTTTAAAGACTAAATTGGTAAATTAATTTAAAACTGTATTCTGTTTTAGAAAAAAAATAAATACCAATTTATTATACCAATTCATCAGTATTTTTTTTAATAGTAGTGCTTACTGGATTAAATTTTATTAATTTATTGCCAAATCTAGGCAATTTATATAATTCGAATTAATTATTTAAGTAGTATATGACATCGTGGGCTTTCAAATATGCCGACAAAGAATAATGATTACTCAGGTGAGATGCAGTTCGCACTGATGAAGTCACTCCTAAACGCTAACCTTAGGTTAGTCCTATGACGTCATAACTAAACCTTGGCATAAGGTAAGTCCTATGTTGTGCCATAGTTGACGTTATATTTGAACCCTGGCCTAAGGTTAGACCCCGATATAAGTCCTATGACGTCACACCTTAACCCTGTGCAAACATAAGCCCTTTGATGTGACATTTGTTGGGTCCTATCACTTCGTGATTGATTCGTCGGCAATGATTCTGTTGTGTACCATTCTACGTAGCAATACAATGTTGAGCGGCACCTTCTTCAGATAATATAATTAATAAATTAACTTGTCATGCAAATTTTTTATTGGGCTACGGTATTTACGATTTGTTCTGATTCATCAGAAGTCACTATATGATACAGACAAAATTTACAGTGTCAAAGGCAATACAGCCATCGAAACGTTGTGCGAGTATATTAAACAGATGGGCTCATAAGCGTCAATCGGATTATTTTTTTGCATAACGGCTGCAACATTCTTTTTGATTTCACTGCAACTCACACAAAAAGTTGGCAACAAATATCAGCTTATTAACAGTAGCGACAACCATATAAACAGCAAATATGATTACGTCAACAATTTTGAAAAAAAATTTGATGGTAATAATTAATCGTTTGAATGCGTTCTGAGTCGACATTACATACAACAATGATCATGTTTTTATATTAGCAAAGGTAACGAAACAGTGAAACAAAGAGGCCTTTAAATTTCTCTTGTATTATTTAACCAAAATAGGAGACAAATGATTACTTTTATTTTGTAAAATTTGAATTTAAACAATTTTTGTATGAAATCGTATCACATATGGTTCGTCAGATATGATGAAATATTTGTCAATATGACAATTTTGTCAATTTTACGAAGTATTATGTATTTTGATATTTTTCTAGAAAACTAATGGATTTAGAAGAAAACTGTAAGAACTCAATTTATACAAAACAATTAGATCTATTATTTATTTTTATAATTTTTTTGTGAGAACGCTAATTTACGAGTTAATTTCTGAAAAGTAAAACACTACTCCTTTTGGCTGATTTTCAACCCGAAGTTGGCACGAGTTAAACTTGTTGGCCTGAAATTTTTGTAGCCACTATTTATAGATATACACACAAATTTAGGGGGTGAGTCCGAAAAATTTTAAAAATAAGAGACACCTCAATATATACATATTTATTATAATTTTTTATAATATACATATTTAAATAACTTATAAAAATGATGATCTAATTAAAATAAACACAGGTCTATGAAAACTTTTGACTCATTATTTTGGATGTTATAACTATTTGAAATACAGAGTGGAAGAAATTGGGGTTACGTTATTTTTATCATTACGCAATACTCTGTCACGCTCATCCTCCACTCTAAATTTGAAAATTAATAATTTCTTAAGTGCAATTTTAAAAATGATTTTTAATTAGAAAGTTCTAAATTTTAAAGTTAAATATCTATGTTGCCATTTAAAATTCAAGAAATATATAAAATTTTTAAAATACTAAATAAAATTCTATTACTATAATTGTTATTTTAAGAGTAAAAGTTTTTATTATATTAAACGAATCCCCGTATATCAGAATATAAATTAGGTAATATGATTACATTTTGGTTTTAAAATAATTCATTCTAAAATTTATTCACTATATATAGATTTACATTGAAGCATTTTTATGATAGAGATTTTAATTACTATCATATATCATCTATACTTTCCTCACTGGGTTGTGACCATACTATGCTGGGCTATTAAATTTAAAAAACGACCAAGTCCCATAGTGTGAATCTTGAGTAGAGTGTTGCAAATATTGTATATATAATTACCAAAAGAACTAGTTTTATTAGAAAAATATGGGGTTTTGTACTCAAAGGAGGGTAGTCTAGCATTCCATGAACTTAGAAACTGAAGTTTTTAATTAATTATTAAATATTATAAGCTGAATTTATTTTAGGTCATATACATAGCCATTATTTTAAATCTGTACAATAATTAGATTTTATCCCATAATTAACTTGTTATTTTGTGTTTTTTAAAGAAGGTTTACGTGATATACATATACAAATGATAACATTATATTTCATGATAATATTATGTAGTATTGCGTATTTTTTGAGCACTTAAGGCGCAACGCTTGAATCTCGCAAGGCGATGTGACCTTTACATTTTTTGCTTATTTTTTTTTCTTTAAGAATTCAATATTACTGTTGATATAAACTTTTTTTAAATAAAAATGAAAATTTCACGTATTGTATGAACGCAGCGCCCGGTGGTATTCACGCGGTTTGTTAACGTTCGTAGTTTTATTTTGTCTTAAGTCTTTGGCTATGCCAAGGATAAAAAATAAAATGAGTGGACTATATGTTTGAATGTAGAATGAATTTAAAAAAATATAATTATAACAATTAAATATACAAGAAATATAAAATCTTATATACACCAATGTGAATGGGGGGGACACTTAATACTAATGCCTGCAGTGTCGTTAAATATTCACGGGTCCACCTCTTCCAAAATGGCTGGTGGAGTTAGCGTAATAATTGCCAACGAGTGAGCCGATTGATGGCTTTGAAAATGATTGAAATCATTCTCAGGCAGTGAAACTAACGGCTTGCCAATTAGGAAATGATCCGGTGTAAGAGCTATCAAATCATGCGGATCTGTCAACGCTGGCGTAGGTGGCCTTGAATTCAATATACCCTCAATGCGTACTGTAGGCGTGTTGAATTCTTCAACCGTAAGAATTTGCATACCAATAACTCGTTTAAGATAGAATTTAATGCACTTAATAGCACCCTCCCATGTGTATTTTTCATAGTATATTGTACACGTTAGTCAGCTATTTGCATTCAACTACAATTGATCCTTTCAATATTCAACATTATCATTAGCCGTTTCGATTAGCCGATAAAGTATAATGCTTGTTCATCTTCTTTTTAAGATTTACTCACATTTATAATTTATTATTTGTATATATCAGCGCCGTTGTGACATTAGTAATAAGTGTGCCCCTATCCACATTGGTGTATATAATATTTTATGATTCATGTATAATACATTTAATTGTTATAATTATATATTGCAAAATTAATTCTACATGCATTCATACAGTCCACTCGCCTTATTCCTTTTCCTCTAAATAGCCTGACTTAAGACAAAATAAAACATCGAATGTTAACAAACTCGCGTGAATACCACCGGGCACTGCGTTCATTCCTAGGGATCCTCAAGGATTACGGAAATGACAAACTCACGGACACTAGTCATTCAAGGGGGGGGGGTTAGGGTCACGCATCATTAATCATACAGCCAGTCATTTCCAATTTTCGGTACTGGTAGTCATGGGCAAATCTACAAATATGAAACCTCATACATTTTGATGGCATTAATATGCCTCCAAAACCTTCGTACCATATAAAGATGCTTGTCGACGGGGTAGTATACCGACAGGTGAACTTGACATTATATAATCTCTATGGGACAGGGCGCACCTATAAAATATATAGCTTTACTACAGTACCAAGAATTACTGTAGTAGACCTTTTCTCGGCTTCTTTTAGGAACAGAATAATATAGTGAAAATCAGGGATCCAATTATCCGATTATACTATGATATTTATGAATATCATATAAAAATAATATGTATAATTTTTAACATAAAGTCAACATAAAGAATTATGCTAATAGAGATGCATAAAATTGTTTATTTATGGTATAAGTTGAAACATATAAAAAAAAATGTTTGTAGACTAAAATATATCTATTAAAATAATTGTAAAAAAAATAATTATGGATGATTTAAAATTCATTATTAACCTACATTATTAGTTCAACTAAAAGAAATTAAATGTGAGAAGAATGAATTACAGATACAAAATAAACCATATAGAAAATAATTTTAATATGAATAATAAATATCTTTTCACGAGAGCAAACTACAGTGATGGGTCCTTGATTTTTATTGAATTTATTAAATCTAAATGAGATAAAACTCAAATTTTAATTTTAATTTTACAAAGAATTTAAATTTTTTCCCAACACAAAAAGAATCAAGCAAAAAATGAAAAAGAGCAAGTTTTTTGGCCAGGTGTCCAAATGCGTACCACGAGCGTGAAGAACATCATTTTTCCGACTGGGCATTAGTAAATCGCATGTATTGGTAGCTAAAACGGACAATCTAAACTAGTTCAAAAAGTCAAAGTTATTTTTGTTGATTTTGAGGAGGCAAAATATTCAAACTAAGTGTAAATTTATATTCGATGTAAGTAAGATTTATAAAATTTTAATAAAAATTGGTGACTATATTACTATGGCAAACCCTTGTAAGGTATTTTAAAATAAACAAAAAAAAAATATTTTGAACAAAAAAATAGCATGTTTTTGATTACAGCACACAATTGCACACATATAAATAGGTCGTGGAGACAATTTTTTTTAAATTTATAGTATGTAACATAAGCTTTAATTTACACACATGTTTAAAGAACGCAGTATTTCCGTAATATTTTTAAAAGTTAAGCTGAAAAAGTTAAATTTTTGTCAAAAGTTGCTATTTTTAATTCCCTCCTGTAACCAATAACTGAATAAGTTTTTAAAAAAATTATATAAAATGATTGAAAAATACTTAAGGGTTCAATATAAAAAAAAAATTATTTTGCTTATTCATTTTTCAAAAAGTTTCATGGCAGTTTCACAACAAATTTTTTTTAAAAATGTCGAAATTTACCGATTTTAATAATCGTAATTGTTCCGGGGATTTCCCTCATTTATAGGGAACAGGGGATATTTTGTTAATTTTAATGGCAATATTTTCTACTAGCTACGATTTAGATTTTTTAACATCTTATTGATAGATATTAGTAAATGAAGCTGAGAAAAAGTGGCAACATATACAAATAAAACACATCATAGTAAAATTATTACCTTCTTAGCTTCGCATCAAAGCTAAAAATTATATTTTATTAATGATTGGATATTTCTATATTTGATATATTTGTATGTTGTTATATGTGCTTGATATTATCTTCATATTAGATGATCATAATTTTATACAGAATAATTATAAATTAATGTTATTAAAGTAAACTTTATAAATATAAACTAAAATAATTTACTAAATTTAAATAATATTATTAAATCGTTAGACGATAATAGTAACTATATTAAATCTAATTAAATATTACTTAATAATTTTTAAAATTATTGAATTGGTAGAAGAGTATCTTATTTTGTTCTGGGTATAAATTATACATCATCATTTGGTATCTTAATTTTGTAGCATTTAACTTGAAAATGATTAAAATTATTTAACAATTTTTAGCTATATAGTAAAAACAATTAACAATTTAAAAAGAATTAATCTGGAGACATTATATGAATTTATATATGATTTACCTGATTTTTTTTTAAATTATTTTCAATTATTCAGATAAATTTAAATAAAAATTTTTTATAAATTAGTTCTATTCTTAAATATATCTCTTTTTTATTTTATTTTACAAAAATTAAAAAACTTACTTCAAATAGTTTGATATTTTTTTAACACTAATTAAAAATACAAGTAGAAAAATTGTTTATAATACAAGAATATAAATAAAAATAAATGAATCTAAAATTGACACACCGTATCTTCTTGCGAACTATTAATGATATAATAATGTTTGAGAGTATATATATTAAGTAACTCCACAGCAGTGGTGTCGTCGAATTCGAGGTGAACAACGAATACAAAATTATTTGGGAAATAAAATTTGTTGTGATTCAATATATATGAGTGTCCTTAGAGAATCAGAGGGGTCTCTCTTTTGTGTTTTTGCTGGGTCAATATTCATAATTGTCGTGTATTATTAAATTTTACAAAATTAAAAGATATAGACAAGTATAGCTCATATTTTACAGTTATTAAAATTACTATCATAAAAAATGCTTCAATGCAAATCTGTAAATAGTCTTTAATTTTAATTATAGTTAAATTTTTTAGGTAGAATTTTTGATCAACTTGAAAAATCAACTTTAAAAGATTAAAAATATAGGATTCATTCTTAAAAATGAACAAATCAAAATAATTTTTTTTTTATAGATGCTTGATGTTTTTACCTATCATTTGGTATATTTTTTTTATAAATCTGACCATTTACCTGCCCACAGAGGGGATCCAAAATAGTAACTTTTTCAACTTAACTTTTAAAAATGTTTCTGAAATACACATCCTTTAAACATATGTCAAATTAAAGTTATGTTAAGTGTCATAAATTAAAAAAAAATTTTCTTGACGACTTTTCTACTACGTGCAAATGGCTTCTGTAGTTAAAAATAATTCCATTTTTGTGTTAAAATTTTTAATTTTTGATTTTAAATTTTCACTTTAAATTGCTAAAGTTTTTGAAAAATTGTATAGATCAACACAAATTTTTATTTCTATATACATTATAATATAATGTAAAGGGGTATATATTATATACCCCTTTCATCCTACATACTTTTTTATAAATCGGTGAATTTCTCTTATACAGAGAGTGTTAAAATATTGAAACATTCTTATAAAAAGTATAATTTTTTGAATTTAACTTTTAAAAATGATCCAGAAATACCGCGTTCTTTAAACATATATTAAAATAAAGTTTATTTTATTTACTAGAATATTACAGTATTGTAGTTATTTAAATTACAATAAAAAAAAACCAGCACCAGTTTTTGTAAAAAAGTTGCTATTTTAAATCTCCCCCAGTGAGCAGGTAAAGTGTTAAATTTTCAAAAAAATGATATAAAACAAAAGAAAAATATCTAAGGTTTTAGTATAAAAAAAAATTATTTTGATTTGTAGATTTTTGAAAAAGTTATAGCAATTTTAAGTAAAAAAAAAAAACCCAGCATAGGGGGGTCGCGGCATAGTGGTGACGTGGCATAGTTGGATCAAGTATCATGATATCTGACAGTGATTAGAATCACTATAAAAAAAAAACGCTTCGATGCAAATCTTTAGATAGTGTTTAATTTTAAAAAATTGGTGGGTTATACCAAAAGCTACATATCCTGATTACAAATTTTATGATTTATAAGTGTAATTAAATAGTAAAGTGTACATGAATATATGAAGGGAAATGGTGTTATTTAAATAAAATGTATCATAAAAAGTTGTATTGATCCATATATTTTCAAAAAGTTATAGCATTATAAAGTTATAAATATAAAAAAGAATTTTTTTCCAAAAATCATATTTTTTTTTATTAAGTTTGATGCTCGTTATCATAATGTAAACAAAATAAAGTCTGACATTTTTTTTTTTTTAATATTAAAGTATATAACATAAGCTTTAATTTAATATATACAGTGTAATTTTTTTATTATAACCCACTCAATTACTTATAGAATAATAATAATTTAAACATTTTTTTTTATTATTATCTTTAGTTACACGTTATTCTTGAATTATTAACTATGTAATACATTTTAAGTTCATTCATTATGCCTGGTAAGGGTGTCAACTTTTTTTTTTTTAATGGGAACATATATTTTGAATTTAATAAAATGTTTGAGTATTTAATTTAATAGTAAATGCATTTCAATGTTTAGTATACCTTTATTTGTTTATTAGGTATAAATATTAAAGATTCAAATTTTTGAGTTTATATACATGTATAATACACAAGGATTTACAAATACAGGTAGCTAATTGATTTTTTATGACATCGATATTAGCAGGTGTAAAGCGTTGTTATTATCAATAATAGTAAGGCACATTGTTATGAGTTTATAAATACACTAACTGACAATACAGAAAGTGTTCTATTGATAGTCATAATTGATAATAAACAATCCATGACTGTGACAGCAATGTCATAAAAATCTAATTAGCTACCTGTATTTATAATCCCTCGTGTATTATACATGTATATTAACTCAAAAATTTGAAACTTTAAATGTTTATATCTAATAAACTAATGAAGTTATACTAAAAATTCAAATTCCATTTACTATTGAATTAAAAATCCAAACATTTTATTAAATTAAAAATATGTGTTCCCATTTAAAAAAAACAAAGATGACACTCTTACAAGGTATAAGGGATGAACATAAAAAGTTTTAAATAGTTAATAATTCAAGAATAATGTGTAACTAAAGAAATAAAAATAAAAAAAAATGTTTAAATTATATATATTCCGCAAGTAATTGAACCCAACCGCAAGTAAAAATCACCCTTTATACTGCAGCGATTTGACATACTCTAAAATTTTATTAATACCATTTCTAATTTGATTTTTTTTTCGTGAGTAGTATTAATATAATTTATTAAAGAGAATCATATTTTTAATGACATGTATTATTACAATTCTGTCGGTTTTCAAAACAAATAATGAATAACTCAAAATTACATTTTAGTACTTAGCTCTTTATTAATTTCAAATCTTTAAACATAAATTGTATTTAAATATGTAAAATAAAATAAAATACACTATTTTTTTTTATATATCTTATTAAGTTACTTAAATATACATGTATTATATTTTTTATTGGAATTAGTCCTTCATGAATTTCAAATATTTACTCTCTCTGAATAGCGGACAAAAATCAGGTTATCAAGAGTGTCTGCTATTTACAGGTTTTACTGTATTCATTTAGTGTATTTTACTAATTATGGTTAAATTTTTTTTAAGTTCATTTGAAGAAAAGTATTACTAATTTTTATTATAATCTATCACTTTTTAAAGACGTTGTAGCATATTGAAATTTATACATTAATATAAATATTGTATGTTTTTAATAATTTACATAGTTTAGAATATTTATTATATTTATATCATAAAATCTTGTACTATACATATTAGATTTGTGATAGAATAATTGTTGTTTAATATCGATGCAGTTTAGATCGTGTTTAGGAAGTGGTACGGAGTGATTTGGCCTATAGGCAAAACCTATAGACCACTCAAAAATTCTTAGGGGCGATTCATAAAAAGATTACAGAACAAAACATAGATTGTCAACATATGATTAATCAAAAAAATGTTTTTATTATATTATTGATAATTATGATTTAAATAATATTTATGTTTTTCATATTTATTTTAAGATTATCTTAATTATCATAATCATAATTTTGGCGAAAGCATCAGAAAAAAAAGTTGACCTGTTATAAATTTTTTTTTCACATCAGTTTAATTAAAAAATAACAAAGTTTTCAAGGAATTATTTTAAGGAACAAAATTAGATGACATTAATTAAATACAAAACTTATCTTATGTTTGCATAAACATGAGTATATTATCCTTAATTGATCACTTTATAAATTTTTAATGTGAACCTGTTTTTTTTTTTTATATTAAGAAGAAATTATTCTAAATAAAATTTTAATTTGTTGATAACTAGTTTTGTATGATGTTTTGAAATATTAGCATTTAAGATTTAGAAAACGTAAAGATCGGCGTAGTGCTTAGCGATGATTTATTTTATCATAACGTTCGATTAAGAATTATTTTACGTTTCGCATCAAAAGTTAATTACACAATACTGGTTATCGGTCTGCCAACATTTTATTTAGACCATCCTCCATTTAATATTGAAAAAATAATAATAAGTTTCCGTTTGACTTTCAAAAGTTAACTCTAAAATCTAAACCCAACTTTAGAAAAAATGTTTTTTTTACAATCAAATTGCTATATTCAATTGTTTATAAAAATAAAGTAAATTATTATCCATTTTTTTTTATGGAAAAATATTTAATAAAGGTGCAGTAATACTAAAATTAGAGTGTATATGTGCGTATATTGACCAAGTTAGGAGTGTTTAGGGATTTGGTCAATTGATGAGTAACGAGGTTTTATTGGGGTTGTAGAATTTGAGGACTTAGAACAATAAAGACAGGTAGATATAAAAAGAGACGATTAAAGTTCCTCTTATAAAGGAGTTATAAGAGGCGAATACCATGTAATGTGATTATGTATAAGGTACGAACTAGTCAGTAACAATTAATTAGAGTTTAAAAATTAATATAACTATTTGATCTACCGCTTTATTGTTCTTTACTCAGATTAATAGTTTTAAATAATTGTGTTAATATACTCTAACTTAAATCTTAATAAAATTAAGATAAGGTGAGTTGGATAAATGTGAAAATTACTTAAGATCGTTGTACAATTCGAAGATCATAAAATAACATAAGTATTGACCCTTATTGATTTGATACATTTTTCTTTTCTCTTATAAATAACTTCAGTGACAAATATTAATAATTGATAAACAAAGTAACACAAATTTAAGTTTTAGTTCATATTAATACGTAAAAATTTCGACAAATTTTCACGTGGCGACGTTGAGAGCGCGATTAGAACAAACTTTCAGCGCTGCAAAGGATTGCTTTGCCTTTTATAGTATTTTGTATTCCTGAACAATCATTATTGTCTTATTTTTGTAATGTTATTGATAAGTAAGCATAAAATATATAAGAGTACAAAATATATAAATTAATACATGCGAATAATATACAAATAATTTTGATATTCTTATAACGTTGATATAGTCTGCTTTTATATGTAAGTTTAGAGTAGAAACATACGTTTAATTATTAAGAAAACAGTAAAAAAACTGACAAATATAATTTATAGATTTCTTCTCACCAAATAGTGCTTTTTAGAGGTAACTAATAATCGACTTCTGACT